TATATATATATATATATATTAGGCCTATGCATACTCACAGACCAGCTTGTTCTATAGCTATTTTAGTTTTGTTTTCACAAGTCTCCTCTTTTTATGTGAGTCTTTGCATGCATATCTGTAGATTCTAAATCCAATCTCACCTGCAAGAGACACTTGCTGACATCACTTGCACAGAGGGCTTTGTTGCATCCATTTACAGATGCAATAAGAGAGCCGCAGACTGCAACAATCAGGATCTTCACTGGATACCATCTTCTTACCTGCAGACATAAGGAGCCCTATGGTTATAGTTATAACAACTAGGTCAACAAGCCCCACTTTCGTATGGCTAGCGCAGACCTACCTATTGATGTCGATTAAAAAAACACACAGAAACTACCATAAAACAAACTAAAGTTTCCCAACTGCAAGAATAGCACAGCATTTGTATCGCTCAATATAATCCACAGGCGAGGGTTTTAAGGAATCCACTCTGTGCTTAATTATATAATTTGCTAAGCCCTTCAGATGTTTGCTGGGAGCATTTTCACCATGAACATGATGTATGTGATTTACAGAAGAACTGCAGATTTTTTATAATGTGATGGGTAACAAATACAAGTTTAATGAGGTATATGCCACCTCCAGGATCGTTGCCATTTCTATATTATGTATTGTGTTACTTATGCCGGATAGTAAAGCTTTCCTTATACTGCTGGGACAGGAGACATGAGGCTCTCCTACAGAGAAGACGGACTGTTGTTTATCTGTTCCTCCTCTCTTCTTATCCATTCTCAGAACCCCTTTTATTCTATGAACCATTCCCAATATACAAAGTGTTCTGTATAGGGGACAGGTGGGGCGTATAGTGCAGCTTCTGCATAGGAGAGCCAGAGATCTCCTGTGGCAGTTCCGGAGGTATAGCAAAAGCTGTACTATCCTGTATCAGTAAAACAGTAAATGGTAAAGAAATGGCAGTGGTCCTGGAGGTGGCATTTACCTCATAACACTTGACTATTTGATTCCCAATGATTTAAAGAAAAAAAGAGTTTGGGATGTTGGTGTGGAACTCAAAAGGGATAAAGAAGAGGCAACAAACAAGTGTCCAAATACAAACGAAAAATATATTCTCAGTTGCATTTCTGCTGTACACAAAGAAAAGACTGAACTCATCCTTAGTGTGTCTGTTTATATTCTGGGGCCAGCTACATCTCAAAAACTAGGCTTGTGGTTTGCTGTGGAAAATGTTAGTGCCCCACTTGCTCCTGGAAGTTACATATGCTTCGTCAGTGGAAACAGTTTTCCATTCCCTCCTGACTGACTGGTCAGGTTATGAATGCATTATATGTTGACCTTTCATGTCCTTGAGTTGTATAAACAAGAATTATGGATTTGATGTCAGTAATGCTCATGCACCAGGGGAGGTTGGAGATTAATGTTCCAATGCCATAGATAGAAAGTCACTGGAAATCAATCCTTCAGGCGGGGGGGGGGGGAGGAGGTGCAACAACAAGGAAGAGAGCACCCCCCTGAAATGATGGCAGACAGCAAAGAAGCTGATGCTTCCTTTGCTAACTGCTGCCGTCAGGAGAGAAAAAAAAAAACACGGCATAGGAACTAATAGCTAGATTGCTGTTGGCTATTTCAATTTGCAAAACCCAATAGCAAGCTGGCTATTGAACCCGACCCAATTAAGAACTTCAGGTCCACCTCTGCTGATTGACAGCAGCAGTGGGCGTGTGCAATAGCTAGTCTGCTACTGGCTATTGCAAATTGAAATAGCCAATAGCAATCTAGTTATTTCTCTGACGGATGGCAGCCCCGATGTCAGAAAAACAAAAAAACAGACAGCAGGGAAAGGTTTACTCTGCTCTACCAGAGTAAACCTTTCCGGGAGAAAATGTTTCCCTCCCGGGTGTTCGGGAGCCACTATCTAATAGCCAGAGACTCCTGGAAAATCCGGGAGAGTTGAGATGTCTGTACCTCCTGTGTGAGTATAGTACTCTATGAGGGGAATTTATCAAAACTGGAGCAGACAGAATCTGGAGTAGCTGATCATATTAACCAAACAGCTTTTCTCTTCAGTTTGTTCAGATGTAGTATTAAACTCTCAAACCTTTGTCAATAATGAATCCAGACCAAACAAATACACTTTGCCCAGCAAAAGATTTCTTTACATTTTGTGCCCAAACACTTACAGTCATCATGTTTCCAAACAGGTCCAACTCTCTCAGCTCATCTTCCACGAACTTCCTGTCCAGCACAAGATCACAAGCAAGAGAGCAGGCTGCAGCATATCTCCATCCTCTAGCTTGCATGACTAGGGCAATCCATGGGTTCCTTCTTGCACAAAAATCCTGCTATGCCCCCTCCCCTCAATAACTACTATCCCCAAATAACAGACCACACCATTTTTGGTATAAATGGCTGTAGCAGTTGTTTATTACAAAACGTAAACCAATACACGTAAACATTAGATTAATGTAATCAACAATTAACTAAATTATGTGTGTGTCCATGCACACACGCACACCTCTAATATAAATATATACACTTTTAAGTGGGAGAACTTGCACAATTGGTGGCTGACTAAATACTTTTTTGCCCCACTGTATATATATAAATGCATGGACACACACATATTGCTGGAGGTCCGTGAAGGCCCCGTTACCCTAATGCCACCATCTCTGCATAACCACAAGGCCCCTAGCCTCAAGACACCGACTCAGGGACGACCACCGAATTGTTGCAGAGACATTTTCAACCTAATACTGTACTGGTCATCATGCCTGCTGACTCCGCCACAACGAGGACTGCGCACCAGAGACGAGTCCTCACCAACACCAAAGTAGGGCCACCGGGCCTCCGAACCATGTCACACCAGCGAGTACCAAAACTAGCCCCTCCTAGACCACCTATCACTTGGCCAATCAGGTAAGTACCCCATTCATTTTGAAGAAAAACATTGACCCCTCCTTCCTGATCCCATGTTCGCCTTGTCATGTCGTCCCTCCGCCTATTTCTTTTCTGTCATTTGCTCCGTGACTATCTGGAGGGAGGAGGAAGAAAGGAGGAACGGGGAGCAGGAGAGCGGCTTGTCTTGCTGTGTCTTTGTAGAGACACAAACAGCTTACTAGCACACATAAGGGTGGCTCCACAGGACACTGCAAGGGAAAGGAGCCACACTAAAACAGGATATCAGGGCAAGTGCTCAGGGGACTAGCTGATTCTGCAGGAAACAAACTTTTAAACAGCAAGAGGCAGCATTCATTGTAAGTGACTTCATCAGCATCTGAAATAGCTTAAAAACCTTTTTACTTTAATATCAATGTAATGCTTTAAAAATGAAAGAAATAAAGAAAGAAGCTGATTGGCTGGCATGGGCAACTGATCCAGATTTTGTCTGCTCCACTACTGATATTCCTTCCTCTTTCCCATAACTAGGGATGCACCGATACCGGTTCAGATACCAGTGCTGATACTTGGCATTTTCATGAGAACTACCAGGGTTGCAGAGGTTGTAGCTGGGACCGGGCTCTGGCTCTCCACCACTGTCCTGAAATCATTAGTCTGTATTATTTTAGAAAAACTGTCACATGACAATAAACAAAAATGTATCAGTACTTGTACTTACAAAAATGGTATCGGTTAGGGATGTGCCGGTATTTCGGCCACCGAAACATATCGGCCGAAAATTGCACTTTTGGCTAAATGCCGAAAGTGCCATTTTCCTGCCGATACATCGGCGCATCCCTGATTTATTTCCTCCCAGTTGGGCGCTGCTCTGTGTCCCAGCGGGGAGGAGAGAAAGTGACAGCTGGCCGAGCGCTGTGGGGCAAGAGCACTGTGAGCGGCCGGTGTCTCTCCTCCCACACCGCTCGGCCGCCTTTCACAGTGCGGCAGAGCGGTGTGGGGGCGGAGACAGCGCTGTCACAGGAGGCTGGGCTCTCCTCTCCTCACCATTCACTCAGCCTCAGTGACAGTATGTGGAGAGCAAGCTACAGTGATCAGTGATCGCTAAGGCCTGGTTCACACCTGGGCGTTTTACAGCGCGTTCCTACGCGCTATAAAACGCTCAACATGTGAAAACCAATGATTGCCTATGGGCATGGTTCCCACCCGGGCGTTTTACAGCACGTAGGAACGCGCTGCAAAATGCCCTACGCCCAAAGAAGTACAGGAGCTTCTTTGGGGCGTATTTGCCACGCGTATACATTAGGATACAGCCGGATAGCCTTCGAAAACGCTCGTTTGTTGTGTGTTTTTTAACCGCGAATCGCGGTAAAAATGTGCGACACGGAATGTTTTTATTTATATTTATAAAAACAAAATTATATATTAAAACAGAGATGTACAAATCCCAGGTGCTCCGTGTGCTCCTTACAAATGACAGCTGCCTCCTAACTTTTGAATTTTTCTCTAGTCTAGTCTTGGAGCTCAAAAAGTATCGGTACATGTACTTCTACCGAGTGCGTTACTTGGTATCGGTGCATCCCTACCGATGTCTTTGTGAGCTTGAAACTAGAGCTGTTGCTTATAGTAACCATTCAGCTTTCCTCTTCAGTTTGCCTAGTTAATCTTAGAAAATTAAAGAGAGAAGCTGATTTGGTTGCCATAGGCAACTACTCCAAATTTTGTCTGCTCCAGTTTTGATGAATACCCTTTACTGTATATGCAGGGTTTAGATGAATTTATTCCTTTTTCTATTGGTTGAACTTGATGAACTTGTGTCTTTTTTCAACCTCCCTAACTATGGAACAAAGTTAAAATAACAAAGTGAATTGAACTCCTCTTGTGTGCACCGTGCAGTTCCCCTACTAATTAAAATAGCAGTGACGGAGTTTGTATTTGAACGCTGGCCAATTCCTGCAAGCAATGCGCGATTCCATTGTGTCACTAGAAAAAATAGGGATGTGAGTGGCCGGTTGATCTGACAAAGACCAATCAGAAAACATAACAAAAACAAATATAAGGGATTTGTTTAAAAACATGGTAGACAGGACTTCAGCAGCATACCCTTTGTGCTCTCATCTAGACCCCATAGCCTTACCTTCCCATCCATGACAGTATGAAGATGAGGCCCAGGATGAGATCCTTTCTTCTGTGTGTCCAGAGTGCGTGTGGTAGGGGAGGGAAGAGGAAGAAGGGGGTTGTGAGATGCACGTACATAAGGGGGTAGAAACCAGGAGACGGCAGAAGGCTGTCACTGACTAAATGACTTTCTGTGGCTAACATGAAAAGAAAAACAAAGAACATGTGGAACAGATTATAATTTGGAGTGCAGCCAGGGTACAGAGCAGAGCTGGAGGACAGGGGGAGGGAGGATTACTAGCAAGTAAAACACATGAAGAAACAAGAACATCACCATGTCCACTCACTTTAACCCCCCTCCATTCACACCTGAGCATTTTGTTGCACCTTTCCCGACGTGCCTCAACGCACAACATGATGCATCCTGTTATTTTCAAGGGTGCCATTTACACCTAAGCGTTGTTTTACTTGTAGCTTGAAGTTAATTTGCTTGTTTTGTGTAAAATTGCACGCTTTTGGCCCACAGACTTCAGAGAGCACCTTAAGAACATGCCTAACAACCCTCTCCTCCTCTTAATAACTAGCTTTCCATTGGCTAAGATAAATATGATCAAACCTGAAAAACGCTAGTTAACCTCGGCACCCCAGTTTTGACAAAACCACAAATCCCATCATGCCTCTGGCTGGTGAATCTTGCAATACCTTTCAAAAAGAGCTGGAGTGCCGAGATTGCCTTCTTCTGGTCTAAAGTCCTGGGAGTCCCCTGATTTTCCCTCCTCATCCCGTTTCCTGTTATCCTCTTGCAATTCCCCAGGATTCCTGTCATCTCCCAGATACCTCCTGTCACCTGCATGCAGTGATTGATCTCTAATTAGATGTAGCCCAAAGCATCCATAAGTGTCAGAGATGTCAACCTTGGAAGACTTGTTTATTGTTCAATTATGTAAAAGAAGAACTCTGGGCATATTCAATCTTAACCCCTGCAGTGAGGCTACCCCCGTACTGCAAGGATTAAGTCCTTGTTTTGTCTAGGGAGCTAAATTAACAAAGATATACTGTACTCACCGCTGGCTGCTAGACCAGTCCGCTTCAGCGATGGAATTTCCGCCAGCGCCAAGTCCAATACACTGTATTGGATGTGATGACTTAAGGGACCTTAGATCGCTAGAGCGGAGGGGGAGCAAGACTGCAGGGACCGGTCTAGAAGGTTAGTTATATAGCAGGGTATGAGAGTGTCCCAAAATCTCTTTAGCACCATTGCCACCTCAGCATCAATGCATTGTGCCATCTTTGCCCACTGGCTTCCTTGATGTAGGGAAGGCTGCATGGCAATACAGCAGACCACATGTCAGTTTCTATAGCGCTAAATGCAGACTCTGTGTCTCTGTCTCCTATTATTTATAAAGTTAATATTGTGTTTCTATAATTTAGACTTTCCAAACTAAAAGTGCTTTGTGTAATTGTTCTTAATTATTTTTTTGAATACAGAATGTGTCCCTCATTGGAGGCAGTATGGTGTTGCCTTTTCATACATCTCCCCATCCTACAGTCCAAAAACCAGCCACATTATGGGTATGAAGATTGTGCTTCCCCCTGCTTAACGGTAAACAGTGATTCAGTAATACAATAGAAGACGTGAAATATTTATATTCATCTTTATTGCTAAAGGTACCGTATGAATATATATCGCTCAATTGAAGCTTTCCACAATGATTCCTAGGTCAGCTCAAAGCACCTTTGTGGCTACACCAACATACCTGCCATATGAATCTCTGACATGTCTAAATTCAGGGGAGAGGGGAAAAAATTCCTTGCTGACGTTAAGTATAGCAGTTGGTGGTTTTCACCCAGGATCGCCTCTACTACACACATGTTATACACAACCTTCTTTGTGGGTGTGGTAAGGCACAAAGCATTGGGTAGTAGACCAAAGCAGTAAGGAAACCTTAATGGTTATCTCCTAACCTTTGGCCCTAGAAGCATGAGATGCTATCAGATCTTCCACTGTCCTTTGAGTTCCCTCAAGTCCATATGGAAGAAGACCAAACACAAGCAAATTGTCAGTGTATATTAATTGTAAGTACGGGAGGAGAATGGTACACAACCTCCCTCAATGTATCTACTAGTGTCAACAGAAAGCTAAGAATTTTAGCCAAACACCAGTAAGTCATATTGACTGTTAAAACAAATGGCCAGGCTCCATACAAGTGCTTTTTCTCAGATATAAAAGGCAACAGAGCTACCTGGGGGTGCTATGTAGAACTGTAGAAAAGAACCTTTGCAGAGGGGCTATCCCCACACTGCAAGGGTTAAGTGCCTGTTTTTTTTTCACCTGATCCTTGGACCTGTGGCAGTCAGCATTGGTGTGCGTTGGGTGGCATTCAAAATGCGTAACTTGCGTTGTGGTATGCATTGCCACAACACACCGCTTAAAAAAGAAAGAAAACCCTATCCATTCAAAATAAAACGTTTTGTCTAGAGTAAGGATTGGCATTTGCACATGCCACTAGGAAGCACAGGTGTCAATAGGTTAAAAAAAAACACAGGCCGTAACTTGCATAGAACATTTTAATTACTGTCTCCACCCACATTGAAGCAATTTTCCCTTATTGTCCCTGTGATATCCTATCAACAGGAAAGGTAGTGAAGGGAAATCTCTCCAATGGGATCACAACCAGCAATAAAAGCCTGATGGAGGTCCTATAACCTTCATACTCCAGCCAAAAGCTAAAGATTTGACTGGAGTTTGGATTTACTATCACCCTTTTAGGTTAGTCCATATTATCAAGAGTTCATATAGCAGCTAGATGGCAGTAAACAGTATTGTGGACCATTTTCCTCACTTCTGGGCAGTGTTCATTTTATAATCAGTAAACCTCTGATTGACCACTTTTGTGTTTAATGTTTTTCTCCGGTATTTTATATATGTAATACTGTGTATATATAATATAAAGGAGCTTATATAATAAGACAAAATGCATTTTTCACTAACAGCTAATGAGCCATTTCAAGTAATATTTTTTTAATGACAGAATCTGGCTGTCTGCACTTAGCACATCATCACTAAGGGGGGGGACTAACCTACAGCAGGACAGACATATGGCAGGACAGTCATGTATCATCTGGGAGTCATGTATCTGTGGCTGTCAGGGTCTTGCTATGTCTCATGGGACTTGTAGTTAAAAAACACATGGAGCCCATCACTATGCAAGCCTATTCACGCTCCCTCATCAGGCACATAGTCAACGCGGCCCGGGCAAGTATCCCGGCTCTCTGGAAACGACCCGAACCCCCGCGCATCAGACAGGTCTTAGACCGCATGCACGATATTTACCTCATGGAGGACCTAACGAGCTCCCTCAAACACACCAACACCCAGTTCTCTGGTACTTGGCTTCCCTGGATGGAGTTCATGAGATCCCCTGACTACCTCACGCTCTGATAAATAGGGCTACATATGACTGGATGTAGTCACATGATCTCGTCCTCTCACTCTCGCCTGATTCAGGACCCCGCTTTCCCCAAACTCCGCATACCCTAGACCCGCACCCTCCCCAACCCCTAGTCCTCCCTCCCTCCTACCTTATGTGACCCTCACAAGTCGATAGCTTCCATGATGCCCCCACCTTCCCACGGTTACCCTGTCCATTTGTGTAGTAAAACCTCACCACGCTCTAACAACGATCATGGGATACCGAATTACCCAAACCCAGTTTTCCAGCTATCGCGACTCACGCTACCACTGCCCGGACAGGGGGCACCCCAGGAATTCTGCACCCCCATCCGTGGGGGAGCCCTGGCACCCTCTGCCCACGTTCTCATTGCAAAGGGTCGCTCCATACCTGTTGAAATCACTCTATATGTTGTAATATGATGTAATGTTTGTTGGCATAATTGATGCTATATTGTACATGGCTCAATCTCTTATCCATGAGTGCTATTTAAACATTGTTTTGTACAACTTGGATAAAAATGTGAAAAAAGACTTAAATAAAGAATTTATAAAAAAAACAAAACACATGGAGCACCATGGTTGCCTACCCCAGGTATAGGTTATCATGCCTGGATGTGTTTCCTATATATATTTATTTTTGTTGCACCACAATGCAGTGAACTGTACTTTTCTGTAACAGTTTAGCATTCATACCTGGATTGTGGCTTGAATTATAAACCTCTGTGTCTGGATTGCTACCCTGATTGCAAACTAAGTTAGTAAACTAACTAACTTAAGCTGCCCACACACCTTACAATTTATCTGCAGATTTTCTGTGGCCAGATGGAAAAGGTGCAACAGATTCCTCCATCTACACTTAACTGTGTGGGAGGAGTAATCTCCACCTGGGCTAATCTGTTGCACTTTTTCCATCTGACCACCGAAAATCTACAGATAATTGTAAGGTGTGTGGGCAGCTTTAGTAAAATAGACAATCTGAGCCTTTGTGTGCTGGTTATGTACTGGTAATCAGTTTTATCCCCATTCCAAAGAACATGACATATATGCAGGGATAAGGAGGTCATGTATCACTTCCCCCTCCCTTTTAGATTGTAAGCCCTCACGGGCAGGGCCCTCCTTACCATCTTGTCTTGAATTGTATTGTGACTGTAATGTCTTCCTTATATTGTAAAGCGCTGTGCAAACTATTGGCACTATATAAATCCTGTATAATAATAATAATAATAATGTCATGACTGGTTAACATCATCTCTGTTAGCTGGCATGGTCATCACACTGAGCTCTGTACAATACTCATGGTTACTGACCCTATTACATCAGTACTGCTATAATATTATATAACACACTTGTTAAGATGGCACAATAGGTAGGGCAATGAATAAGAAATCACAAGGTTTCAGTTTTAGCAGAGCATATATTAATTTAGCAATTAATGATTAGACATCTGAAACAAGAGACAATGCTACTAACAGACAAACAAATAACAACAAACAGTAATAAGGCATCTATAAGGCCTCTTGGGTAGAACAAAAAAGGCATCATTAATAATGTCAGTGTACCCTTCTGTTATGAACCAAAAATTCATTAAACCATAAGCTATTAGAAATTCAACACATATATTGTGTAATAAAATAGCTCACTGTGCCCTGACCATGCCACAAACCACGTATATATCCATTCATTACATGAATTACTAGAACATGACTCATTTCTATGTACAGCACACCTTAGTCACTTTACTGCATTCTCACACTAT